CCAAGTCATCCCAAGACGCACATAAAGAGAACCAAGCTACAACAAAGCTCACATGCAAAACCAAACAAAGCATGAGCTGTAGCACTTATCACCATAATTAGCAGGCCAAGCTACCAAATTGCAGATACGAACAACAAAGTTAGTCAACCATTTACTCACTGCCACTGTTTCTTACCAACCAAATTCTACCACATGCCTAGCAGCATGCCCAGCTTAAACAGTTGATAGTGCAACTTACCATCAATACCAATACCAGACAGAGGACATTTATTCAGCAACATTGGCCACAATTTAAGATTACAAACCCACAAGAACAAGTTCACAGGAACATGTGCAATGGTGAAATCCAATAACCACAGAGCTCAGGCTCCCCAGCTCTAACTGGTCACACTTACTAGCTAATTAATCTCAAACCTAGTCTTCGGACAGATACTGGTGGTGGGTACTTATGCACTGGTTCCACCGGAACCCAAAAGGCAACCAGAAACTGGCGACCCTCAGGAAACCAGGGAAATGCTCAAGACAATGTCTTCAACCACATTCTCCGCCACACTAAGTGAAAACAACAAACTGGTTGATCTCCTGTTGAGATAAAACCACTTCAGCCTACAGAGGGGTGCGTGGCTCTTCAAACTGATGTGGCTGTATTCACCAGTTACATGCACCAGTACTTTTGTTTTTCAATTTTCCAAATACATGAGTTTGCAATCAAAGAAAGGGGGAACCAAATGCTGCCCCCTTCCAACATCCCCAAAAATGAACCACACAAAGAACTAAAACAAAAATCCTTGTGTGATACTCCCAAAAGTCTCAATCACAATGCTAATACCAAAACACTTTAAACTGTACTACTCAAAAGTGCTTATACTCATTTTAGCATTCATAAACTACAAGTCACAAACCAGATTGATCATATATAACAAATCAAGCCTAATGTGTAACACTAAGGCAAGATTTAGCCTTACCAAACGGATCGGACGAGCCCCCATTTGTCACAAACTGGCTTAGAGTATGTGACAAGAAGGGAGTCCACGCAAGATTTACTTAAAACAAGCTGAATTTATTAAACTAAAATTAACTTAAATAATCAATGGAGTGTGTAGATTAGCAAAGTCAGTCATGAAAGCCATGCATGGGTGAGTGTCAGGTGTTCTGTGGAGGTGTTGAAGGTGCAAACCAAAACCAAAGATGCTCAGTGGATGTCAGCTGAAAGGAAGGGAGAGACCAAGTGAACATATTAGGCAGCTTTTATAGCTTGGAAGCCCAGGTGAGCCTAATCAAGGTAACGACCCTCCCACGTCAGCCAGCTGCTTGATGAGACTGGCTGAAACATTCTCAAAGACATTGGGAGGGGAGTCACAGCCTCACAACATGTGTGCGCACAGATGATAAAAGCCCGGCTGTCTGGGAAAATAAATACACCTTTTAGTTAGATGCACAACATGTTGAAACAGCATTCATTTAAAAAAAAGCTTTAATAGACAGCAATATTTAAAGCTTTCAATTTCCTAACCCATCAGTCAAATGTATTAAATAACTATGAAATTATCTTTAATTTCTAAAAAATGAATCCTCATCTGTTATTATCATACAGTGAGGTATATGGAAATGTCTGTATTGAAATGAAACAGCTTTGGTTTTCATTATTTTTATTTACTTTGCCTATAATGATCGGCTGGTCCCACCAATTTCTAGTGCCATGAAATTATTATTATTATTGTTGTTAACAGGCATCTAGGTTATGTAATAGATTCTGATCAACCTCATGAACCAATTGTATTTTCTTGTGGAGGGAAATAGGGATGTGGCGGTATGCTGATTGCAAATAATGGCCAGGTGTCTGTCAACATACAGATGGTGGTAATAACAGAATTGCCCCATGCACATGTATCATGAATTTGATTGAATTTGTATTTTTGACTTGCTCACTCATTTTATGTGCAAAATTAGATCACTTCTACGCACTTATTATTGAATGAGGCCCAATGTCTTTTCATTTACAGGTCCAGTGTGTAGGAGATATAATGACTATGTTTTCATTAGTTTATAATCACCTGAAAATGGGTATCATTGTGTGTTCGTTACCTTAGAATGAGCCTTTTATATCTACAAATGGAGCAGGCTCTCTTCCTTAGAGTCCGCCATGGTCTTCTACAGTAGCCCAGAACAGCCAAACCAAACACTGGCCTCAAAGGTCACACATGTTGAGACCTTAATTTCAACAGTGGAGACCTTCAAAAACCATTTAAGTTCTTTTATTGAATATGTCTAAATTGGGACATGAACGCTGTGTATGAATAAAGAATAAACATAATTTTGTTGCCCAACACTCAATCTCTCGTTATGTCACTGTCCTCCAGGCTGCGATCCGCAGGGCCACAGTGCAGCGTCTCTTCACTCCAGTGTTGGTGGGCACAGCGTTGAAAAATAAGGGGGTCCAGCCTCTACTGGACGCTGTCCTGGATTACCTTCCGAACCCCACTGAAGTCAAAAACTATGCTATCCTCAATGAAGAGTGAGTATTGACCAAAGTTACTCTATATTATCTATCATGAGGATTTTTTTTTTTGCACTAATGCCGGTGTGTTTGTGACTGTGTTAGAGATGGCAGTGAAACATCAAAGATTCAAATGGACCCGACAAGAGACTCCTCAAACCCCTTTGTTGGTCTGGCCTTCAAACTGGAGGTACGATACTATTCCTTTTCTTTAATTCTGCATTTTAGCTTAACAGGAAGGTCTTAATCTGCTTTGTTGTTTCCTGTTGTGTTTCTCATTATCAGGCGGGGCGGTTTGGCCAGCTGACATACGTGCGGGTGTACCAGGGCTGTCTGAAGAAGGGGGAGTACATCTATAACACACGCTCGAGCAAGAAAGTCAGAGTTCAGAGGCTCGTGCGCCTCCACGCCGACCAGATGGAGGTGAGAACAAGCCGTACGTCAGCAGGCTGTCAGAGGTCACAGTTTTCCATCCGCGGTTTGCAGTTTAAGCAGCAGAGGAGCATGACTGGTCAGAATGGTTAGGTTCCTCTTTTGGCGCCAGTCAAGTGTGGAGATAACAAACCACATCCCCCATGGCACCAAAGTTTCCATTCTTCTTATATCAAAACAAAACATGAAGCTGTTTATTATTCAGGCCAATATTTCAGTCATCAAGTATGACTTTTAAATCAACCTAGTCTTGAAACATAAGCATCTTGTCCTCTTATATATTTTTTTTTATCTGTGCTGTTTTCAGGATGTGGATCAAGTTTATGCAGGAGATATTTGTGCTCTGTTTGGGATTGACTGTGCCAGCGGAGACACTTTTACATCCAGGACCAGCGCCAATCTCTCCATGGTGTGTAACTTAATAGAAATTATTCTTCTTTTGTTCTTCCCTCTAAGATATGAGGAGAATCTTTTGTTCAATTGTTATTGTGTCTACAGGAGTCTATTCACATCCCAGAGCCTGTCATTTCCATGTCAATGAAGCCCACCAACAAGGTAAAAAAACACTTTAATTTACTTATAAGTCTTGTAAAAATCTATTCAGCCATTAACTCTTCTCTCCTCTTGTTATTCTTCTTCCAACCAGAACGATATGGATAAATTCTCCAAAGGCATTAACCGTTTCACCAGGGAAGACCCGACGTTTAGGGTGCATTTTGACACTGAGAGCAAAGAAACCATCATCTCAGGCATGGGCGAGCTGCATCTTGAAATCTACTCCCAGGTAGTTAGAAGATGTTCTGCACGTTTAAAAGTGTACAGTGCAGGAATTGTCGTCTAGTCGGCTCGTGCTTTTTATTAAGTCTGAACGTCACCTGCGCGCTGTGCCCAGACACGTCCCAAACACGACAAAATAAGAAGAAAATAAGAGCCTCTGCAGCAAAATACACCACCACACTCTTCTAGTGGGTCATAAGTGATGATTGAGAGGGATTTATGTGAGTCTATACATTGTTTTTTAAAGGAAAATCCTGCAAAGTATATCTTTAATACATGATATCCTGCAATAAAGGAGACAAATCCTGACATGTTTAATCGTTCTGATGGTGCTTTGTATCCAATTAGTCTTGATTTGTGGAGGTTTGGAGCTGTCAGGTGTAACCAGGGTCTCTGCAAGTCCTTTGAAGGTCTAAAATCTGATAAATATTAGGCCTTAAAAGTCATTTAATAGTTTTAAGTGACGTCTTAATTGCCTAAAACATTTTATCTAATTTAATTGGTCTATTTTTTAATTTCCTTTTGTCAAAATGATTTACATAAAGTCTACATTTCAGATGTAAAAAGTCTTTAGACCTACCACTAAACCTAATACCTGGTACTTACCTGTCTGCAAAGTATATATTAATAAAACATATGTTAACCTAACACACCCTTGCACAGGACCATATACATACTACTTACCTTTGTACTTAGGTAGGTGAAATGTCTTTAAAAGCATTACATTTAATTGTTTGACACCGCCATTTGGTGCTACTTTGTCTTTGGCAAGTACCAAAAAATGTTGATATGTCTGAGGTTCAGTGTTTCTGGAGTGAAGCTCTAGCTGAGATCTCCAAGCCGTCTCTAAATGGGATTTATCAATCGTGAAAAAAGCTTTTAAGTCATGTATGAATAAAGTGTGACTTTGAAGCTGATATATCTGACCCATGTTTTTGTTGTTTCAGAGGATGGAGAGGGAATACAATTGTCCCTGCATCATGGGAAAACCCAAAGTGGCTTTCAGAGAGACGATCACCAGTCCTGTACAGTAAGTGCTGATCTCCTAAAACACACACACACACACACACACACTGAACAGTGTAAACTGAGGCAACAGTCTGTATAAACAGTTTATTTTGGCTAAAATACAACAGCAACCAAAAGTATTACAAACACAGCACCATGTAAGCACGTCCTCATTACATGTGATGGCTTTCTGCTTGCAGCCTTTATGCTCCAATATTTGAATACAAGGTGTGAACATCAAGATGTTGTTTTTGGTTGTTAAAGCAGTGTGATGGATGTCAGCAGTTCAGTTTGTGTGTGGAGGTTTTTTACACTCGTGGCAGTGCGGCAGCTGCTCCATCTGCAGCACTTTGACTCCCTCTGGAGGAGACCAGGTGAACAGCAGCTTCCAGTGAATGATTTCCTGAAAGAAATAATGCAGATTGTCAGATTATCAGGGGGTAATAATTATATTATAATAAGAGATATCAGACAGTAAAACTGTATCACATTGTGCATATCTAGCATGAGAGTAAGTGTCCCAAGATGCCACTAGTGCTGAAGTTATTACCAGCTTTAGTAAAGGATTATAAAACAAGTGTTTACCTGTGACACCATCTCATGCAGAAGTGTGTGACAGTCAAACTTCAGCTGGTTGTTCTCACTCGCCTGCAGCAGATAAAGGAAAAATAAGCCAATATTAGGCACCAAGTCCAATACAACTGTTACATCCTCGGTTCATTTGCAGCTTCCTTTATGTCATTATTATCCATCTCTTTACTTATCAGTCGAGGATTAATGAGCAGATTTAATGACAGACAGAAGAAACCTACCAGCTGAGTGATGTTGGCCACCTGAGCCATGTTGTACACAGTGTTTTCAGTGGATTCATTCAGCATGACGAAGCTGGAGGCCACGGTGCAGAGGTGCCAGAAGGGCTCCATGTCGGGCTCAATGTGACCATGGCTGTCTGTCGGTCAGAACGTCAGTGTGTTACATACATATAGCTACTGTAGGCTATGCTTGTCTGTATCCTGGAGATTTCACCATCAGGGGTCAAAATGTCAGCCATTTGTGTTGCGTTAATATTTTTCAGAGAGACACTGAGGTCACTCAGAAACCACAAATACTAACAGTGATGAAATTCCCAAAAGCTGCAATTTCAAACTGCCGATGTTGTGCAAGATGTGACTTTGTGCGATGACTAGCAGCAGTTTTGTTTTCCTGTACATACCAGGTAGATATTCTGCAGACACTGGTGTTTGGCTCCCCTTGTACTTTTGGTATAAGGCCTCTTCTTGAGCTTTACTGTTATTTGTAAGGAGATCCCCACACGAGGCCTGGACCTCTGGCGAGCGCTGTGGTTCTCCCTTTGGAAACAAAACCTCCGCAGAGCATTTCTCTGTAGTCTGGATCAGTGTTTTAAAAAAAGGAGGGGTTAGTGGATTAAAAATGAGCAAATAAAGGAAAGGCAGGTTTGGCAATAAAAAAAGCTGCTAGTATTCCTCATAAAGGCGTAGTCCATGTGTTACCATGGCAGCCAGTGAGTCAGGGTTTGACCACATTGCCTCATTTTATCGTCTGTTTAGTTAAATCTCGTAAAACCTGTTCACTTTAAAGTCAGAGATTATCTGCTTTAAACAAACTGCCTGAGAACCCGGTGCAATAAATAATCATATCTTACATTGCTGATTCTCTCTCGCACTGAAATCTCCAGCTGATACTTTCTCCCAGAGTCCACATCCTATAAGAGAAATCAGAAATAACCACAGTTGACAGAAGATAGAAAATTCACTGTGAAATTAACAATAACAGTTGAACTTCAGCTGACCTCTGCGTTTCCCCTGTGGACTTCATGCATGCCGAACAGCCTGTATGGAGAGCCGTGGCGGGTGTTGAGGTAGTGCTGGACCACCTGGGCTGCCCTGCGAGCCGGGTAGTGATTAGGGTTCAGCTCTCCAGTCTCCATCACCTCTTCAATCTCTTCATCCACTAATACTTCCTGATGTTATTCCAGAGGAGACAAGAAAGCACAGTTAGTGAGAAAGGAAAGACAGTGATGGGCTTCAGATCCCTGGGGGACTTTGCCCTCAGGTGTCTGCAGGGTGGAGCTATTTCTCCAGTTGGTTTGTCTCCACATAAAAACTAAATAAAAAGCTTTAGACACAAGGACAGCTTCACTGAGCAAAGTGAAAAGGATAGTAAATATGAAGAAGCCTTGGAAACAGCACATGGTGAAGAGGTGCACAGCTGAAAGATGAATTAAATAAAGAAGTCTGATCTTGCCTGTAACTGAAATGCTCCAACCTCCCAGCCTGTAACTTTGTCAGGTGGAAAGTTTTATCTGACCAGCGCTTCTCATGGGAGGGGAAAGATCACTTCCCACTTCCTATTACACCAGAGCTCTTTGAGGACTGCCCCCTGTTCTTTTAAAGAGACAGAGCTCTTTCCTGTTTGCTCTGCTCCCCTTCGAATCAGCTTTACACAACAGGCAAATGTGGATCAGTGCTGCAGCCGTCCACTATTTCAACTGCAACAAAATTATGAGGGACATTTCAAATGTCAGTAATTGATGAGCAAGAGATTTAATATATTTTATGACACACACCGATGTGTTTTTTTAAAAGGCAACACTGATGAGGTCTAATACTTTTCAGCCATACTGGTAGATGCCAGAGTCTTTGTGTAACTTTCTATTCAAGAAAAACATGATGCATGTTTTTTTCTGTCGCTGAAGTTACAGTTGTGGCATGTGATTTACTTCAAGAGAAAGACCAAGATGCCAAAAATTGTCTTTAATAATCGTGCACTAATGCCTGTAATTCTTAAAGTTACTATTACTTGTACTTTTTGTAGTACCGATCAAAATTGTAAGAAATTCAAAAGTTTTTCTTGGCATTTATATTCATTCATTCATTTTCCCCCTGTTGGGGTTGGCAGGGGCTGGAGTCTATCCCAGCTGACATTGGGCGAGAGGCAGGGTACACCCTGGACAGGTCACCAGACTATCACAGGGCTGACACATAGAGACAGACAACCATTCACACTCACATTCACACCTACGACCAATTTAGAGTCACCAGTTAACCTGCATGTCTTTGGACTGTGGGAGGAAGCCGAAGTACCTGGAGAAAACCCCACGCTGACACTGCTGCTGTGAGGCGACAATGCTAACCACTGCACCACTGTGCCGCCCATTTGCAGCTATAATGTCGCCTAAATTAGGTGTCATTTAGGTACTGACAGATGATGGTGCTGTAATTTGATTGGTGCATCTGTTTTTGGTTGCAACTAAAGACTGTTCAATATATCACTTTGGTGCCAACAGCAACACAGACAGTGTGGCCTCCATCACCAATAGAGTTGCTCAAACACCCCTAAACACTCAGGACTCTGCTGCCCTTTTCTCTGCAGGTTTGACTTCACCCATAAGAAGCAGTCTGGCGGCTCTGGGCAGTACGGTAAAGTTATTGGAGTCCTTGAGCCTCTTGAGCCAGAGCATAGCACCAAGCTGGAGTTTGAAGACCAGACCGTTGGAACAAACGTCCCTAAGCAGTTTATACCAGCTGTTGAAAAGGTTTGTTTTTTAACTTAAATGTTGTCACAGTGAAAGTACAGCTATAGGGATGTTAAATCGAAGTGATTTGAACACAAAGTGAAAGCCATGCTCTTGTCTTTCATGGCTTGTTTCTTCCCATCGTGCTGCAGGGCTTCAGGGATGGCTGTGAGAAGGGGCCACTGAGCGGGCACAAGATCTCAGGAGTCAGGTTCGTCCTGGAAGACGGAGCGAATCACTTGGTGGACTCCAATGAGATCTCCTTCATCCGGGCAGGAGAGGGTGCTCTAAAGCAAGGTGAGGGTCATGTTAGATCACACCTACTCTACCATTCATCTCTTTTGTTTTCAGCGTATATTAACGCTGGTTTCTATTTGTTCTCCTCAGCTATGGAAAAGGCCAACGCGATCATCCTGGAGCCGATCATGTCTGTGGAAGTCGTAGCACCTCAGGAGTTTCAGGGAGCAGTCATTGCTGGTGTAAACCGTCGGCACGGTGTCATCACAGGACAGGATGGAGCTGAGGGATACTTCACTCTGTACGCTGATGTGAGTCCAGTTTGTCCACGCTTCACATACAGCTTCACACACAGCATTTATCTGCAACCTTTTAGCGTACAGCATTTGTTCTCACATACTTCATCACCATTTAATTTCATCCTGTTTTCCCCAACAGATTCCACTAAATGACATGTTTGGCTACGCCACAGAACTACGCTCCTGCACTGAAGTAAGTTTGACCTCACAACACCCTATATGTGCAGTATAACGGTTGTCCATTATAGTCTACGTAGAGTGAATGCTTTTCCCTGTGTTCATCAATCTCTAATTTACACTTTCAAAATTAGTCTGATAACACAAGTTAAGACAAAGTGCTATTTAAACTCCTGTTTTAATAATACACAATACAGCACTGGCTTACACTGCTGAGCCAGAAGGCAGAGCTCTCAATTCACCAGTCCATCTGCGTTCTGACCCTCATCTGCGGTTGTGAGTTTTTGATAGTGACCAAAAGAATGACATTGTGTATACAAAGGGCCGAAATCCGTTTTCTCTGCAGGGTGGCTGGGCTCAGCCTTAGAGATAGGGTAAGGAGCTCAGACATCCACAGGGAGTTTTGGGGAAAGCTGCTGCTCCTTCTCATCGAAAGGGGTCAGTTTAGGTGGTTCAGACATCTGATCAAGATGCCTCCTGGGCGCCTCCCGTTAGGCCTGGTAGGAGGCCCTGGGCAGACCCAGAACACGCTGGAGGGATTATATATCTCATCTGGCCTTGAACGTCTCGGGATCCCCCGAGGAGCCTCAAAGTGTTGGGAAGAGGAAGTACCTTGATCAGCGTGCTGACTCTGTGACTCGGCCCCAGATAAGCAGATTAAAATGAATAGACGGACAATATGTTTAGTCTCCCTGATAGAGACCTCACACTTTGTGATACATTAATCTTGTATGGGTGTGTTTACTTAGCACTGTGCTTTACTGCTTCGGATGTTCAGTTCTAGCATCTGTTGATAAGAACATTGATTGGAAAAAAATACAGGGATTTGCATTGTCCCCCATATAGCCTGAGACTCCGCAAACCCCTCTCTGCTGCTCAGAAATCTTATTGTTTGGAGCTCATGGTATTAACTGAAGTAGACTCAGATGAGTATCCACATGGTGATACTGTGAACTGCTCAGAAAGCTTTTGGTGAGGGAATCAAGCGAGCTGGATGTCGTCAAAAGCAAGATAAGTATAGTGAGAGACTGAACGAACACCCCTACACAGAGTGCCTCTACGCCTGTACGTCACAGCCTGTAGAACAGCTCTGCTCCAACATGTGACTTATAAGTGAACCTAATCCAGACAATCACAACCAAATTCATACAAATACCCAAATATTCAGATAACACTCTTGAGTTATGCAGTGATGTAGTTTTCAGAGAAGTTAACAGGACTATCTTATGGCTGTGTTCATCATTGTTTCCATGGACACCATTAATAAACAAGGCTGCACAGCCACACCATGTAAATTATTTTGACTTTTTCCTCACTTAATTACATTTTGTTTTGTTTTTTTTTAATAAAAAAATAATAAACACATGTGAATAACAGTAATATAACATTATTACTTTAAAATTTTAGGGTAAAATAATATTAGTATAGGTAGCACTGGTTCATTTACTTCCTCTTTGGGCAGAGATGTTTGACAGTAGAACGTCTTCCATCTTTCTTCATAGGGCTTAAGTTCTCTTTTTTTAGTTCTTTGGTAAACTGTACAGGAAATCCATTCTGTTACTGTAGGGTTACAGGTATACAGTTATTTAAGCAATATCACACGAGAGGGAGTGATGTTGTACTGTGATATTGTCACGGCTGTGATTCGGTCGTAGGCACGAGGCTGCAGTTCAACAGTTAAATAAGCAAGGCTGATTAAGAAATGTTGAAAAATGAGGACAAAATAGATCATTTAAGCATTTTATTTGTCTTCTGCCAACAAAAAATAGTTCCCTCAGGACTCCGCTGTCACCGTTGCTATGTAACGCAGACATGGTGCACCAGGCACTTACTCTTTATACACATTTATCTGCATGTTTCCATTAATTGTGCAGCCGGTGAAATAAGTCTCTGGTGACTGCATAGTGGACTGTCGCTTCACAGGCACAGCCGACTCTGCCTTCTGATTTGACAGTATGTTGCTTTTCTCCAAGTCATTGAGCTCCGCTGATGAAACACTGACAAACCTGGATGTGTGCTCAGATGGATTCAGCTTCTCCTCTCCCTCATCTTCCTCTGATGACCATTCATAGTTCAATTCAAAACTTATTTTAGGAAATAAATCCATATTTTTGGCTGTTTGACAGTGGATGAATTAATTAGCCTACAACGCAACTGCTGACCTAACTGACACTAACCGTCAGTTTTGATTTGATTGTTGATTGTAATCAGCTGTGAGGCGGAGTGATACATACACAGTGAAATAACCGTGATGTTGTACTCCAATATCGTCACGGTTTTACTGTCTCTCGACCAATCAGATTGCATACAACAAACTGTTGTATAATTAAAAATAAATGTCAGAATCTGAAAAACATTGCACTGTCTCAGCAGCGCAGCTTGAATATTTGAAGTTGTCTGAGTTTGATGTTAATTTTTATGAGCTACAGTACCTAGCTACAATCGTATGGCAATTATTTCGGTACTCTGATGTCAAACATGGTCTGAAAAAGTGGCTGAAACGTCTGGAATAGGGTTGCAGTAGTATAACAGTTTCACAGTATACCACTGGTAGTAAAATGAACAGTTATCATACTGTCTATATTTGCTCATCTATGGTATTAAAAATAAAATGCAACCGAACAGAGTCTCTTATTTTCAAAAGGGCGACTTGTCACATAAATGTCCTTAAAAAATGGTTTCAATTATAAATTATAATAAAGAGTCTGTTCAGCAAAAAATATAAATATATTTTCATTCTTTTAAAAGGTACATTGAAACTGATACCACTACTACTACTAATAGAACAATTGTGTAATACCATGACACGGCAATATTTTCATTGTGCCGTCAAAATCTCATACCGTTGCAACCCTAGTATTTTGATATGAAACGTGTAGGAACCCTGATTATGGAGGAGTCCAAACAACTCTTATAGTACATTAGAATTTCACAAACTAACATTGGGATTGTTTATCCAGGGAAAAGGCGAGTACACCATGGAGTACAGCAGATACCAGCCCTGCCTGCCAGCCTCACAAGAGGAACTCATCCACAAATACTTGGAGGCGACAGGACAGCTGCCTGTGAAGAAGAACAAGTGGAAGAGCTGAAAACTGTCAAATATACCCAGATGTGTACTACTGGACTTTAACACGACCGCCGACCCTCATCTTTACACACATTTCCTGCCCATCATCAACCGTGACTCGACAATGAGGCTTTGATTTGTGGAGCCATGAAAAACTGACATGTTACTCGTGTTTTGTAGTTGAAGCTACTTTTTCCCTCCCTGATGTTTGACCCCTGTTGGAAGCATATTTATTATCTTGATTTTAACACCATTTGACCTTGTTGGTAAGGAAAGCTCAGTGTTTTGATTTGAGCTTGTTATGGCTTTTGTACCATGTACAGAACGGCCCTGATCTAAGAATGAGTGCAGCAAAGATACGTCTGTCTTTTAAAGTTTGGTTCTGTACGGATTATTTACATGTCAAACAACTTCTTACAAACACTTGATTCTTGGAAACGCACTTCTTTTCTTGTGCAGCAGTATTCTGGTCATTTGTAGATCTTCTACATGAGCAGTACATTTGCACACCAGGACACACGATTACACACCAAAGTTATTGCAGCTAGTTCCTCCTCACCTGTCCAGTGATCTCATTTTCCTCCTCCACCTCTGGTACGCTGTTTGGATGAGCCGTAACGTCCACCGAGTCAGCTTCAGGCATGACCGTCACAATGGGGCTCCCAGTTACCCCAGTTAACACAGCCAGAACGACGACAACGATTCTCAGGCTCATCATAGTAAGCTGTAAAACACAGATGCTGTGGAAAAGGGGAAAAAACACTTCTGTAAAGGAGCGCAGGAAGCAAACTGACCTTCCTGTCAGTATGGAGTTATGTAACAGAGGAGGGAGGGAGCAGAGGGAAGAGGCTGTCCAGATCTTCCTGTCTTCCTGGCACAATCTGTTTATTTTTCCCCCCCTCTTAACTAAACAAACTGCTTGGCTTCATCTGGCTCTGTTCTTCGTACGCTCTCGTGCAACTCACTTAAGCTGTCAGCCCCGAAATGTTTCAACAGCCTCACAGAAGAACTGATTAGTTTAGGAGCTGTTATCCCATTAGAGCAGCTGTGATTAATATGTGAGCTTGATGGGTTGCAGCCTCGCCTGGTCCTCAGTGTGCTGGATCTAATGTAGCAGGACGTTCACGGAGCCAAATTAAACATGTCCTGGCAATTAAGGGTAGTTAAAACGCAAAATCTACACAGTTTAAGATTTAAGATTATGAAGGAGAGTTGTGCAACATTTAGCTAATGCAGCGCTGTTAGGAAGAAAGCTAGAGTAGTCGGCTCATCTCATGGTCAAAACAACAATATAATTTATATGTTTTATAATTGATGTCAAATCTGTTTGGTCAAAGAGGTAAATTGAGAGAAAGAAGTGAGATTCAGAGTTCATTCTTGACTTTGGACAGAGAAGTTGACAAAAACAATCTCACCATAAGGTCTGTTAGCAGCTGTTCTGGAGCAGTCATTCTCCTTATTTAACCTGAACAGTTATTTATTTATTTATACAAAAATGTGTACGGTGTTCCAACTTTGCAAAATTCTGGGAATATTCAAGGTGGCAACTTTCCATGGGAATTAACAGGAGATAAGTGGAATAAAATGGAAATATGGGTGTAATCTGCTCAGGCTGCTTTCACGTTATACGCAGTTAGAAGCAAACCTTTAAGCATTGGACAAGCCGACATAGGTAAAGATTTCAGAGGGGACGCAGTGGACACATCCCCCTCAATATTTAGAACATGTGCATTTGTCCCCTCCCGTAAAAAGTAAAAGTAGCGGCGGGCAATTATTTTTGACAAATTTAAAGACAGTCATACCATACACTGATGCAGAAAAGGCAGAAACTGATGCAGGAAATAAAGTGTGACACTTAAAATTTCCTAGGGAAATCCCAAACTCCTGGTTTCATATGTGCCCACCCCATGGTGAAACCTTTGCCCTTGAAGCAGACATAATTGTGAACCATTCTCATAGGACATAACAATCAGCAGTTTAGTTGTGCTGAACTTGAATTAAATAAGTTTGCTAATTTCACTTTGTATTGAACTAATTAGATTGCAACAACAAAACACACCCCTGTTCCCATTTAATGTGATGCTGCTGGCAAATGATCAGTACATGTGATGAGGAGTGCATGGTTACAAATTAATAAAATGAGAATACTTTTCAAGTCAAGTCAAACTTTATTCTTTGAGCACATTAAAAAACAACTGCAGCTGACCAAAGTGCTGAAGAGGCACCAAATACCAAAACAGATGAGACAGAAGCCCAAAAACAATAAGAATACAGGAAAACAATAAACATAATAGAGAACAAAATGCAACACCACTGAAGATGAAGTCAGTTAAGGTGTTAGGCTCAATTGTTCATCAATGAGAAGACGTTGGTCTTCAACAGTGACTAGTTTGGTAGCCACTGCTTTTGTGTCTAGTTCTGGAAACATCCAGCAGCATCTGATTGGTATATGTCAGTGCTAAAATTGGAGTATGAAGATGCAGAAGGTCTGAGAGATAAGGTCGCACTAGTTTGTTTAAAACTTTAAAAACAAACAATAAAATCTTAAAATCAATCCTATGACAGACAGGAAGACATTTTTATGTGTATTTTCCCCCAATATAAGTTCACCACTACAAGGTACAATTTTAATAATTAAATTGAGCAGAATTTCCAAAAATACCTAATGTTTTTGGAAAGTTTCCAGAAATTTACCAACCCTTCGAAACCCTCGGTAGTGCTTCATGTTTTCTAAAGCAGCGTCAGACTCTCACCTTGGAACATAGAGCCTTGAACCAGTCTTTTCCAGACTGATATTATTCTCTGTTCTTGTTTCTCCTAAAACCTTTTCTCCTGAACTTTTGCCAACTGTTTTTGGAGCACCAAAATAGTCCCAGCAGATAAGACAGGAAACTTTTATGACACTTAATGTGTTCTACAAAATTAAAATTAACAAATGATAAACATGAAAACAAACATATCGAACAAAAAGGCTTTTTATCATTACTGGGTCGCACTGTGTTGCAGTTAAAGAAGGAATACTTCACCCATAAAATGAGCATTAGTGACTGAGTCATGCCATGTCCTGAATTTGTGAAGATAATTTTTTATTCATGCCACCACAGAAAATAGCGAACGATACTGATTTATTTGATCATAAGTGCTATATCATAGGCAACTGGACTTGCTTGTGTTTCAAGGCCCTCATCCAAGAGGCTTCTTCAGTTGTAAATGACTGGTGCGGAGTTGCAGGCTTTAAACTCTGTGTGGGTGTGACCCCTTGCAGAGTTATAGGGGTCACATGTGAGCTCTTAGTTACAATGTGACCTAAGCGACTCGGAAACTAAGAGCTCACATGGGAGTGTATGACTGAATAAATGAGACTAGGATAATACTGCATGAGTTGTATGAGCTCTTGTAATGGAACTTTCTGTGCTCATATCCATTGAGGCATGCAAGACAAAAGTTTTCCTCATGAATACAAGGTAACCCAGCATTACTAATTGATGCACAAATTGTCATTTAGTGGGTAAGGTATACCTTTAATGTAAGTGAAATCCATTGCATATAGAAACATCACTCATAAAAATAAAAATAATCCCTCTTGTTGATAGTGTGCACAATATTCTTTATTACACGGTGGACGAACACTCTGTGGCCACTTCATTAGGTACACCTGTACTACTCTGTCATAGATTAGACATCATTTAAGTAGACTTGTATATACAGTTGTGGGCTATTAGATTTTACAGGTGTATCTACTAAAGTGGCCACTATGTGTGTATCCAGAGTTACTGGAGGACACTTTGTGTTACAGGCTCAACTAGATTTACCACTCTGCAGTTGTATGCGCCCGCACCAGTCAAGTTTCTCTTACAAATTTGAAGAAATTCCCCTTTGAGGTGTTCTTCAGATATCATGTTCACAAGGATGGAAAGGACAGACAGACAACCCAAAAACATAATGCCTCCTGCCACAGCTTTCGCTGGCGCAGAGGCATAAAAACTTCATTCAACACACAGAGCACATCTCAGTCAGCTTGCTCTTTTTCCTCCTCTTCTTCACACGAGGAACCTGATGAAAAACTGGAGCCCTTTGAGCGTCTTGTCTCCTTGTACAGTCTGTCTCTTGATTCTGTCGTCTTTCACATTCATGAGTGTTATTCCCCAGCTGCGCCTCCCGGGGCAGATTATCAATGAGCTCGTACAGGGTGAAGATGCTGAAGCAGATTTCATCGTAGGCTGTGCTGGTGCCGCACTCAAACAGGCAGGCGAAGGCCACAGCAGGCGGTGCACCAGGTAAGGGGGTCAACTCTAGATAGGCAAGGTCAGAGTAGGCGCTGGGGCCCTCATAGATCACCCAGGGGCCACGCCAACTGTCTGGGTCACGGGGAAACAGGCTGAGGAACACACCCAGATCCTTGCGTGCTGTGGTCCATGTTGGGTGGGAGTATACGACCCAGGTGGGGGTGAGGAAATCTGGATGATTGGCTGGCGAGGGGGCGGTGGAAGCAGAGGTGGTGATGTTTGGAGACGGCGAGATGGTGTGATTAGAGTTTGTCATGCAGGACGTCCAGTGTCTGGAGTGATGCACAGGTTGGTGCAAGTGTTGGTCAAGAGAGTGATATAAATGTAACGGGGCAGGAAATCCCACAATGCTGCCATGACAACCATTTCGAGGCTCCACCAGCCGCTGGACCAGCTGCCCCTCCTGAAACACAGCTCCATCATCCAGACTGAGGGCCTGCACTCTGTATCCCAGAGGACTGCGCGCATTACAGTACAACACATTGGTCCCATCCTCTTCATCCACAGACACCATTTGACACTCCAAGCTCTCCGGCACTGGCACCGCCTCCCCAAAACGCCAGGTTCGCCCATGGGTGTCACTGTGGAAGCAGAAGGCGTGGGGACTGGTCTGGCAGAGCTGCCCGAAGCACTCTTTGCACTCGATGTGGTAGGCGTAGGCAGGAATCAGGAGACGGCCGGACTTCAGTTGGATGCCGTGGCCCGGGCCGAGAGCAAATGTGGCCCATTCTGCAGGGACAAAGGAGGAAGTGACACATTCAGAGGACACACATGGATGAACATAAGGGGTCAATACATGATACTTAAAGGGTAGTTTCACACGATTAAGTATTACTGAAAAAATATCTCACAATATCCTTACATTTTAACACTGAAACCGTTTTGGGCCAATGTTATTTTCCCAATCTCTTACATTGAAATCAAGTTAGGGAGGGATCTTATTTAGTCAGGAGGGAGAGTATGGACAATTACAGCGTCCTAAAACAGTTTCAGTGTACATAATGAGCATGTGACTATTGTTTTGAGCCACAAAGGCTTTGTACAACTTTTTACACATATGCAGTGGTACTCCCCAAGACCTGTAAACGGACTTTGATGTCAGTGTTTTAAGTTCCCTTTAAAAAGACAACTTCCTGTGTTTCCCTGACCTTTGATCGTATCTCCTATGACCCTTTTGGTGAGGTCGGTGAGATGACTCCAGGTGTCTCCATCGTCTGTGCTGCAGATGTAGCACAGACGGGTCACGTTCTTCCCCGTCACCAGCTGATAGGACTCTGAGGTGTGGCCGAGGACAGCGATGAAGAACAAGAAGAGAGTACCTGTGAACTCATCGTACACTGGGCATGGGTTCATGGAGCGGTGGCCTGGCAGGAAAGCAGTGCCCAGGACACGCATGTCCTCCCACTGCAGACAGAGAGAGGAGAAAAGGAGATAAGAGAAGAAGAGTGTAAAATACCACATTATGTTTAAGCAGATCGAGTCCCTGAGAGGCAACAAAGACAAACCCAAAGCAAAGGTGTCTGTAACATTTAAATTAAAGGGGCAGTTCACATATTTTCTCCCCTTTGACAAAGTAGCCTCATCTTTTTTCACTTAAATCTTTATTAATTTAATTTATCTTTATTAAAAACAACAAGAGCTAATGAAACAAAGACTGCTTGGGTAAATCCACATTATTACAACCTTAAGGATTAGTGTATCTATTGATAATAATTCCAGTCCAGTGTTGTCTTTTTGAGTCAATTTTTCCCATTTTTTTTCTAGTTGTGCTTCTTGTAGTCTCAGTATGTTTGTCAATTAAAAAGATTTCTTCCACAGTTATTAGCCATTGGTCCTTCGTGGGTGGTGTTTCTTTACACTGATTCCTACTGATAGCTTTCTTGCTTGCTCCTAGAAATATTTTGATCAAATATCTTTAACTAGCAATAACATCTTCTTCAGAAAATTTACATAGATAAAGCACCAAATACCTGTTAGTACGTGGTAGTCTACATCAAAAGAGGCTGCACATTTTAAAGAAGCTACTTTAGTCTTTTCAGGGCACGACAGACCCAGTGGCTCAACACTGACCTCCACGTAGTTCCTGTAGAAAGTGCCTTTCCTCATCACCAGCAGGTGAGCCTCAGAGTCTGACGGGCTGAGTCTCTCCTCACAAAAGGCCAGGAAGGACCTGGAGCGGGGCAGGTAGAGCAGTGCTGGGACTCTGTACGTCACTCCATTGGGCTCCTTGTGGAACAGCACCAACCTCGCTGGGAAATAGGGCGACCTCATACTCTCTGGTGTATAAATATTTTAAAGTAACTTCAAGTCTTCTGAGAGGGAGCTGGACAAAGATAAACACACATTAACATATGTCTTTTACAAATAGGAAAATTGGTTAAAAAATACCTATATTGTTTAATAGTAGATATATAAATGCCTACAAGTCAAACTGTTACTGTAAACTGTAAACAGGGTTACAAATAATTGACACAACGGCCCAAATGAGTCTGACTCTAAGATATGTCACTTACCTTACTTCAGCTTTTACACCAGCTTCAATAGACCAAATAGAAATAGAAAAAGCATCCTGTAAGTGGTGTCTGTCCAGGAAACCTCCTGACAAATTCACACTGCCTATTTTGAATAACTGCTGTATTATAGAACACATATCTAACGGCTCAGTGAAACCTTCCTGTGCAATTGCATTATGAATTACACAGAAAGAGGAAGTAGCATCAGATGCAAGGGTCACGGGCAGAAAAAGATTAATGCCTGCAGAGTACTTACATTCAAAGTGCCCTGTGAGAGCTGCTGCTTCTCTGTGAGGATATACAGTATGTGTCAGCGTTTGAATGTTGGGTCGACAGTGTAATGCATCTGTGTGTGTGTGTATAGTTAGTTTGTGGGGGTTTGAAAGCCATGGCCTCTCCTCTCTGTTCCCCATTCACTGCAGCAGTGTGGCATGCTGTTCACTGACCCAGAAATGGACTGCACTCATCAGATCTACAGCTTTGGATGAATCAGCAGAGAGCAGCTATTGTGGAAATGAAGGCCCACTGAACAATGATTTTATGATCTACCTCCTCTGTGTCCTGTGTGTGCTTTGCTCTCTCATTTTCTGCAGAATGTGTTGCAACTAATGCCTTTAAAGTAGGAGCCAATTTGTATGATATAACACCAAGTCAGTTAAACTTCAGGGATACCGATCTGGTCATTTAGAAAGCACAATAGAAATCCTTGTGAATCAGTTTCAGCTGCTTTGGTGCAAATAAAAGTGACAACAGGTGCAATGGAGAGGCAAAAGCAAGACAACCCCCAAAAAGGGAATGGTTTTACATGTGGTGGCCACAGATAGTTGCTCTCTCCTCATCCTTCCTGACTGATTCTTCTCTAGCTTTGTGTTCTGCTAGTGTCCTTGTCACTACTGGCAGCATGAGGCGGTACCTGCAGCCTAATCAGGTTGCACAGGTAGTCCTGCTGTGTCTCCCAGCACAGTCTCAAGAGCATGGAGGAGACACCAGGAGACCAGCTGTTACACAAGTGGAGCTGGACAGGGCCGTAGAAGGATATCAACTCAGTAGCAGGACCAGTATCTGCTCCTTTGTGTGAGGAGGAACAAGAGGAGCACTGCGAGAGCTCTATAAAATGACCTCCAGCAGGCTACTGATGTGCATGTTTCTGACCAAACTGTCAGAGACAGATTCCATGAGGGTAGCATGAGGGCCTGACATCCTCTAGTGGGACCTGTGCTCACAGCCCAGCACTGTGCAGCTCAATTGGCATTCGCCAGAGAACACTAGAATTGGCAGGTCCGCCATTTGCGCCACGTTCTCGTCACAGATGAGAGCAGGTTCACACTGAGCTCATGTGACAGGTGTGAAAGACTCTGGAGACGGTGTGGTGAACATTATACTGCCTGTAACATCACCCAGCATGACCGGTTTGGCGCTGGGTCAGTGATGGTCTGGGGAGGCATATCCTTGGAGGGTCACACAGACCTCCCTGTTATAGCCAACAGTACCCTGACCCTGTACCCTGTTAGGTACCAGGATGAAATCCTCAGAGGGATTGTCAGACCTGGTGCTGTGGGGCCCTGGGTTCCTCCTGGTGCAGGACAATGCCCGGCCTCATGTTGCCAGAGTGCGTAGGCAGTTCATGGATGACGATGGTATTGATGCTATTGACTGGCCCTCTTGTTTCCCTGACCTAAATCCAATTGAGCAGCTATGGGGCGTTATGTATTTGTGCATCTGACGCTGCCAAGTACCACCACAGACTGTCCTGGAGCTCACTGATGAGAGTGCATATAGGCATGTGGGGGCCATACACAATACTGAGTCACATTATGAGGTGCCATGATTAAATCAACGCAAGGTGGATCAGCCTATGATTTAAATTTTTCCAATTTAATTTTTGGCTTGATGTTTGAGGTGTCAGAATAAAGAGAAATAGAAATCTTTACCACAGTCCCTGTTCCTTGTTACTATTAATAAATTTATGATCACACTCTTCATGCTCACAACCTACAAAGATATACTTACGGTCAGTTACAATATTATACTTAGTTTATTATTACTACTGTATTATTATTATTATTATTGTTATTATATATTAGTGTTGTTATATATTATTATTATTATTATTATTATTATTATTATTATTATACCTAGTCCCTCAGTTGAGACGCTAAACGCAGGACATTAAAAATAAAACACCTTACGCTCATACATGACGTCATCAACGAGCGACCCGACGCCACATGGCAGGCTGCTGAAGTTTTGACATAACTTGCTAAGGTAGCGTAATTCTGCCGTCTTGACCTTATCGATAATGTCACAGCACTGATATATATTATTTTAATCAACAGACAAACCTCAGCATGTGTATTATCGCAGTCAGACCGTCAGCTGGACAGGAAGTTACGTGTTAGCTTTTAGGCTAACAAGTTAGCAGAGCTGGAGCTTGTTTGGTTTTGTCAGGTTTGACGTTTGCAGTCTGTTGTCGCTCCTCCTGCAGAAACCATTTTATCTTTAAATGTCTGTCATGTTTGCCCGTCTTTTTAGGAAATAGGAGTGTAAATGCTGATGATTTTTTCTCATGTAAACATGAAAACATCCATCATCATTTGTTAGTTAATTATTAGCAGTGGTGGAAGTACCAGTACTGCACTGTGAAAATACTCCACTACAAGTAAAAGTCATGCGTTCAAAACCTGACCTCATGTACGTGTTATCAGCTAAATGTACTCAAAGTATGAAAACTAGAGGTACTCATTGTGCTGTAATGTGTTCCTCTCAGTGTTTACTATCACAGTATGTGTTGGATTAGTGTTGCTGCTGTATTAGTGTGTATGTTGCATTTTAGATGTTGCTGTAGATGTTTACCAGTACTGACAATAACCACAATACTTAATAATTGAATATTTATATCATGTAAATAAAACACATATAATAATACTGTGTAAATAATCCAGCTCCTTTTTAATTTTTTTGTTGCTTCCATTCAGGGGTGTGCCACATCATCTCGTTTAAGATAATACCAGTATAATTTTAATATATGAAAAATTCATGTCATGATACTTGTGATATTTAGACTTGTTGACAAATTGACGTGATACTGTAACCCATGGCAACAACAAGCATGGCTGTACTCTTCTGAACAGTTATGGTTACAGACTCACTGTCCACCTCCCTACACACATATTTTGAGTGTAATTAATTAGCCGGTTAAAAAAAGAGAAAAGACACACGATAATCAAAAGTTATGAATTTGACAAATAGCATCTTATTTTTGATAATACAGGGTGTCTACAGGTCCTTAAAAAGTCTTAAATTCAGTGTTACAACAATAAGGCCTTAAAAGTCATTAAATAGACTTACATTTGAATTTGTAAGGTCTTAACTACTAGAAATATTTGATCTATTTTCCTTTATCGGTTTTTTAATTTCTTTTTGTGAAAGTGAGTGAAGCCTTTCTAAGTAAAAGTCCACATTTCTAATGTGACAAATCTTTAAAAACTATTATACTGTCTGTTACTTCATACTTGCCCTTACCTGTTGGCAAAATGTAGACTGACTGAACTCACTGTAATAACCACATTCTACGTAACACTTACCTCTGCACAAGACCGCATATATATTCTGCTTGCCTGCAATGCTTAAATAAGTAAAACATGATTTTAAAACATGATGACGTCCTGAATTTGGCTAAAAGGTGTCTTGAACGGGTCTTAAAAAGCGTTAAATTGAACTGTGTGATACCTGTAGACACCCTGTTATTATTAGAATACTGTGATCATGAACTCTTTTGGCCATGAGAATCGTGTAGTGAAAATAATATGATATGTCAGCTCTACAACACATAAAGAAACACGTCATCCTTCAGTTCATCACAAACATTCAAAATCAACACATCAGGAGATACATGGTTTTCTCTGGACAGGAAGGGGCTGTAATCTGAAAAGTAACTCAAGTTGTCAGACAAATGTAGTGAAGTAAAAAGTACAGTATTTACCTCTGAGTGGAGCAAAAGGATGCTGTAAAGTTGTATAAAATGGACATACACAAGTACCTCAGCTTTGTACCTAAGTTACATTCCACCACTGATTATTAGATACATCTAGCTAAAACTAATTAGGAGTAATAAACAGCCCTGCAATAAATCTGACCTTCAGGAAGGTTATAATCAGTTAAGTGCTGCAGTCGATGTTTATTTTCATTATTAAGTATTCGGCTAGTTATTTATTGAATAATTGACTTTATTTTTAGTCAGTGAAATACCAGAAAGAGTGGACATTGTTCTGTACAGCACAAATTGACATATTCAGATTTCTGTTTTTGTTCAATCAACTGTCAAAACCCCCCAAATATATTTAGTTTACTTACATAGAAAAAGAGCGGTCAGTGTTATTTAAAAAGCTTTAATGTGTAATGATTAACTCTGGCTTGTAAAACAAACTGCCATTAACTGATTGTCAAATTGCCGGTGGTTAATTTTCTGTTGACCACTGAATTATTAATCTCAGTTTTAAATCAGCATTTGTTGAAACTGTTCTTCGAGAATGTTGACTCGAATTTATAGTCAATGTTGAGGCTGCAGTTTAATATTCATATCTTTCTCAGCATGGCCAGGCAGTGGTCTGAGGGCCACTCCACATCCATCCTGTGTGTTGGAGCGTCTCCAGGCCCCGAGGGTTTCCTCGCCTCAGGCTCTGAGGGTGGAGAGGTCACAGTGTGGAGCCAGGAGGGGACCATCATAGGCCATCTCACTCTCCCCGGCAAAGACGACAACACAAGTGTTGTGTTTTCACCTTCTGCTCCGGGCCAGCTGTATGTGTCACACGGAGAAGCGGTGAGTGTACTCGACCCCCGAAACCTGAAGAGTCCCGTGGAGGAGTTTCAGGGTGCAGGGGAGGAGGAGATCAATGCGTTGGCGCTAAATGAGACAGGAACAGCCCTGGCAGTGGCAGATGACAGCGGGGCGGTGCGGGTACTGGAGCTTCCTGGGGGAAAAGTGTGCAGGACTCTTCGTAGACACACGAACATCTGCTCCTCGGTGGCGTTTCGGCCTCACAGGCCCAATAACTTGGTGTCTGCTGGCCTCGACATGCAGGTAGGGGAGGGGACCATTTGTGTTACATACTAAGACAACATTTGACTACATTTATTTCCCAATGTTAATTTGTTTCACCTTTCTTGTGGCTTCAGGTGATGCTGTGGGGTCTGCAGAAGACACGCCCTCTTTGGACTGTCAACCTCCAAGATGTAGCAGAGGAAGAGGACGACCATCAGCAGCGTCCCGGTCAGCTTTTCAACCCGCCACTGATCCACTGCGTCTCTGTGGCAAGCTGTGGGAACATTTTGGGTTGTGCAGCAGAGGACGGGCGGGTGCATGTGATGCGGATCGGCAGTGGCTCCAAACTGGAACAGCAGGGAGTGGTCAAGGCCCACAGTCAGGGCGCCTCACAAGCCCACTTTGTTAGTTTCCTCTCCCACCCTCACTGGCTCATCACTGGGGGGAACGACGGCCAGGTCGCTCTGTGGGATCTCAGTAAGCACCCAGTGGTGACTCCTGAGGCAAAGAGCAAAACTGGAGTGACAGCAGCCCCGCGCAGGAAGGTTAAGAGCAAGGCGAGGCGGAAAGAACAACCACAGGATAAAGCAAAGATGACACCGAAGGCTGAAGCAGAGAAAGAAGTGGAGGTGGAGGATGAGGTGGCAGAAAGTGCAGAGAACGTGACGGAGGACAAGTCTGGACCCAAACTGAGCATCAGTCACGGGGACAAGGTGAACTGGTTGTGTCCTGCTGTGCTGAAAGGAGAACCCAGTGTGGTGGTGTCAGATCAGAGCTCCAGTATGACAGTCTACCCTTTGTCTCCGATATAGATTCACACACTGAACATGTTCTTTAATTTTTTTTTGGTCTTGTCATCGCAGCACTGCAACTAACGATTACTTTCATTATCGATTAGTCTACTGATTATTTTCACGGTTACTTGTTCATCAATAAGATGTCCCAAAAATGGGAAGAATGCATATCACAATTTCCCAGAGCCCAAAGTGACGTCTTCACATTGTTTCTTTTGTCCGACCAGTAGTCCAAAAATCAAAGACTCTTCATTTACGATCATAAATGACAAAGAAAAGCAGCAAATTTTCACATTTAAGAGGCTGGAATCAGTAAATATTTGACATTTCGCTTAAATAAAATTACCTTGTTAAATTTGGTCAGAGTATTCACTCCTGTGATAGATGGTTAGAATTGGCAGCTTCATTATTTGGACTTCTTTTGACGGTAGGATTTTGCTCTTTTAATAAATTCCAGAAAGCACTGAACAGTGGAAGCGAGATCACAGAAATATGTGTTACTATTTTTCAACAAAGCAAATGTGTAATTGTTTTTCGGGTCTCATAAAACTCCAGATTTACACATTGAATATGGTTCATTTGGGTATTTTGTGCATGTGTGGTCCTATAAAAAAGGCCATCCTTTGAAAATATGTTGCAGTATGTGCATTTTTTCGGACAATAAAAACTACCACATTACAGACTGAGGAAAGCTTCATGTTAAACTGAGTCTGCTGCGCTTTGGAAAAGTAAAAACACATCTCAGTGGAAACCAGGAGCCAAAGAGAGAGAAGACAGACATTTGAAAACAGTGCTGTGACACAGATTACACGACAACACTTCTGACTGGTTTGGGTTTTGTGGTGAGCTTGTTCTCGGAGACATGGTGCCATTTTAAAAAATGTGATCTGGCACTCAGCTACCCTCCATGTCACGGTGTGATGTACAATTAAGATTTCTCTCTGTATGTGTTGATTAAATCATGTTTGCTGCTCATTAATCATAACAGGCTGAAATCAGGTAAGAAAATGTGCTGTTCCTATTAAAGTGGACGTCATCAGCATCACCATCAAGCATCAAAAACTTTATATTGTCAGTTTTTTAAACAAGCCAGACAAACACAAAATCTAAATAAATCCATACATTCATTGCAGATGCACTGAATTCACTGAACACTTTAAAACAAGTAAACTCATTTTTTTGTTTGAAAACAAGCAAGACACTTTTCTATAAGAATATCGGAGAAAAGGCACACGGCCGACAGTCCAAGTTAATTCATGTTCAATTCATGCCCTTCTGTGTTCACAAGGCAGCTTAGAAGTCAAGAGTAGCTGAAACAAGTTTAAAACAAATATGGTGAAAATCTTTGACAGCCTATGATCGCTTTAAGTTGCAGCAACAGCAAATGTTCTTTCTAAACAAGCCAAATAAAGCGCTTTAAGGTGGATGTTCACAGTAAGATTTACACTGGAGAAATCATTTCTCAGCACAGCAGAGCAACCTAACAAACTGCTACATCATTTTCTATTTCATTACTTTCAGTCTTTTTGGTGTTTTTTGATTGGATACATCACAAAAGTTCTTCCACCTTTCATGTAATTACGCTTTACACTGACAGCCAGCACAGATTGGACCAGCTGGTTGCTCCTGGCAAATAAATCCTCCACTGAGATGCCTCATCCCTCCTCTGATTGCTGAGGTGACGGTGGACGTTGATCTGAGGTCTGTGCTTTGAGTCAGACTCCGCACTGAGGATGTTATGTTGCTGATTTTACAGTTTAGCGAAGCTCTTCTCCAGGCTCTCAATGTCTGCATCCCCCTCTTCACCCTTGCTGCCGCGAGCGCTGCACTCCAGGAACTCCACCTTCATTGGCAGCTGGCTGAACTCAAAGTCCTTGCCCTTTTTCCCCAGATAAACACTGCCGCCCACAGAGCCGTCCTGAGAGCTCAGGGCTGCAGAGCGCGTCACGCGCAAGGTGTTTCTATGAGTCAAGAGACAGGGTAGACGTTATATCTCAAATCAAAGGCTCAGGAAGTAGTGTGCGTCCACTACAAATCAAATACAGCAAATATATCTGTTACTTACAGTTCCTTTTCCAGCTGCTGCTGAATCAGTTTAGCTGATTTTGCCATGGTGATATCTGTAAAATACAAAGACCAGTGAATGAGGGTGATCTCTAGGCTGAAGGCTATAAATGTAGAACAGAGGCAGAATGTAGAGAACTGGGTAATTTTCTAAACAAAAAGGGTTGTTGAACCTTGTTTGTTGCATGCCACCAGCAAAGCTGGGGCATTCCTGGAGATCACAGTGTCCGTCAACAACATGTAGAGGAACTCTGCCACGTCTCGCACCTCCTTCTGGAAGATAGCGGCGTCCACTACAAACACAATCGCTCTGAAAAGGCGAAAAGAGAGTGACGGTGAGATAAGGAAGTGTGTCAGTCAGGTCACTGGTGACTTAGCATGTTTTCACACTTGGTCCTTCTCAGCTCTCTAAGCGGACTCAGAGCTGTGACTCAGCATTTTTGTGCATATGTGAACATGCACTGGGACACTTGACAAAACGAACAATACCACATTGGCCTGTAATGCTTGCAAGGATGCATGATGATGAGTAGTTTGTTCCACAGAAGATACTGCACTTCTCCAGATGTTTTCCTCCAAGTTAAGTTAATCTGAAAGCGAGTGACTTCATAACCACACTGCAGTGCCACGTCAAAATAAAAACAGAACTATGTCAATGTATGTTATATATAGGCTATAGTGTGAACAGGAAAAGGACTGAGGCCCGGTCAGAGCTGACATTGAAAAGAAAAGAGAACTGAGTCCTCTTTCAAGTGAACTGACAATGTGAACACAAAAAGAACTGAGTCCCATTTCTGTTGGTCCACTTTAAGAGGACTGAGTTTGCTTCATTTAAAAGGACTAAATGTGAAAACACCCCTAATCTCACTGCTAGACATTCAGTAATGTTATTCAGACAGGTTGTCCTGAGACCTGTACTACGAGGCCAGTTCAACTTACCCAGGATATCTTTTCATTATCTGGCATAACTAACCCTAACACTGGCCCTCTGGATAACAGGTACTACAAAGCTGGTTATCAACTAGTTCAGTCAACTCTGGGTTTTCCCATCCAGCCACAAGCACATTCATGTGAAAGAAGTGGGGGTGTAAATTACAAGTGATATCATCAGCACCATAAATGAAGTAGGCTGCTTCATATGATATGAGATGAGATGGAACCAAAAGTGTCTGTGACTGCGAGACAGTAAAATGTAAATGGTGTGGGATGTTAACCGAAAATGTAGAAACATTGAAAATACTATCCAAAAATTCACAGTCAATTCACTTAAATTACATGTAGGTATCACAAAGCTATGTGGGACATACAGTCAGGTCCATAATTATTTGGACAATGATACAGTTGTCATCATTTTGGCTCTGTACACCACCACAATGGGTTTTAAATGAAACAATGAATACCTGCTTAAAGTGCAGACTCTCAGCTTTCATTTAAGGCTTTTTTCAAAAATGTAGTATGAACTGTGTAGGAATTACAACCATTTCTTCACACAGTCCCCCTACTTTAAGGGCTCATAAGTATTTGGACAAACTAACATAATCATCAATTAAACAGTCAGTTTTAATACTTGGTTGCAAATCCTTTACAGTCAATGACTGCCTGAAGTGTTGGACACATAGGCATCATCAGATGCTGGGTTTCTTCCCTGGTGATGCTCTGCCAGCCCTTTACTATAGCCGTCTGCACTTTCTGCTTGTGTTTAGGGTGTTTTGCCCTCAGTTTTGGCTTCAGCAAGAGAAACGCATGCTCAATTGGATTCAGGTCAGATGATATGACTTGGTCATTGCAGAACATTCCACTTCTTTGCCTTAAAAATGTCTTTGGTTGCTTTTGCAATATGCTTCAGGTCAATGTCCAACTGCACTGTGAAGCATCGTCTAATGAGTTTTGAAGCATTTGGTTGAATCTGAGCAGATAATGGTGCCCCAAACACTTCAGCTTTCATCCTGCTGCTCTTGTAAGCAAGACAAGACTTCACTAGAATAAATACAGAGGGTTTATCACAAGATGCAAACCATTGGTTAGCCTTAAAAATGGAAGGCCAGATTAGAGTTTGTCAAAAACCATCTAAAAAGCCTGTACAGTTGTGGAACAGCATACTATGGACAGATAAAACAAAGATCAACTACCAGAATGATGGGAAGACAAGAGAAGAAAGAAGGGAAGGAACTGCTCATGATCCAACGCACACCACCTCATCAGTGAAGCATGGTGGAGGTACTGTTATGTCATGGCCATGTATGGCTGCCAGTGGAACTGGTTCTCTTGTATTTATTGATGGTGTGACTGCTGACAAGAGCAGCAGGATGAAAGCTGAAGTGTTTAGGGCACCATTATCTGCTCAGATTCAACCAAATGCTTCAAAACTCATTGGACGATGCTTCACAGTGCAGTTGGACAATGACCTGAAGCATACTGCAAAAGCAACCAAAGACATTTTTAAGGCAAAGAAGTGGAATGTTCTGCAATGGCCAAGTCATATCATCTGACCTGAATCCAATTGAGCATGCGTTTCTCTTGCTGAAGCCAAAACTGAGGGCAAAACACCCAAAACACAAGCAGGAATTGCAGACGGCTACAGTAAAGGGCTGGCAGAGCATCACCAGGGAAGAAACCCAGCATCTGATGATGCCTATGTGTCCAACACTTCAGGCAGTCATTGACTGTAAAGGATTTGCAACCAAGTATTAAAACTGACTGTTTAATTGATGATTATGTTAGTTTGTCCAAATACTTATGAGCCCTTAAAGTTGGGGGACTGTGTGAAGAAATGGTTGTCATTCCTACACAGTTCATACTACATTTTTGAAAAAAGCCTTAAATGAAAGCTGAGAGTCTGCACTTTAAGCAGGTATTCATTGTTTCATTTAAAACCCATTGTGGTGGTGTACAGAGCCAAAATGACGACAACTGTATCATTGTCCAAATAATTATGGACCTGACTGTAAGTATAGGGTATTTTTCCTATTTAGTTGGATGATGATGAAGACGTCACATAAAACACTTTAACACAATGCTAGACTGTTTCTGCTACTGAAGTAAGGGGTGACTGATGATGTCTATTTGACCGAAATGTTGCGTTTACGGGAGACAATTAACAGCGTGCGGCTTATTTTTCTTATAAAATATATTTTTTTTTTTACTAGTTCTTATCACACAGGTGTTTCATGTTATTTTGAGCCTTGGTGATGTAATCAGAGTAAACTAGCAACACTACCACTGCAGGCTAAACTTAACTTTGCATATGTTAAAGTCCTGCTAAAATCATGTGTTAAGTGTTGTAAAACAATCTCAATTTGTTAGAAGCTCTGTTTTAAAACCAGTGGAAATAGAGCCCTGGAACAATGAAGTGATTTTATTGACCTATAACATCATATAGGCTCCTCTTTATTACTGAGACTCCAGACTTTTGTCTATGATTACTTTTTTCTTCAGTGATCTGTTTGGTCAGAGGTCAGGATGTTGACAGGCTGTGAGCTGATACTCTGAAGTTAATGTGCTCCAGGGCAGGTTAGCTGCTCAGCTTAAGTTACAGCTGTGATTTATCCAGGTAAAAAGAGACCCAGCTTCATAGTATTGAAAACCCAGAGTTAACCCTGATGTGCCTCTGTTCTCACCTGGCTGCAGATTTGAACTTCTCCAGGTACTGAGAGCGCAGACTGTCATGTCCTGGCAAGTCAATCAGAGTCCAGGTGCTGCCCTGTGTACAGCAGGAAGAGGGGACACTTGTAAACCATGCTCATCAAGGACCGGATGTAACCAGATGATAATAAACTGTCCTTAACTTACCCTGTCGTTTTTGGCTTTGTATGGAGCACTGCTGTCAGTGATGGAGGTCTGTGTGCGCTTGAACTTCCCTGATAACAGCTGCCAAAACACAAAGTGCACAGTCAGTTACATAAAGCAGATTAACTCCGCATCATTCTCTCATCAGCTCAGCAGCTGAGCATCATCCTCTGACAGGCAACGTGGCGATGGACACCACGTTTGAGTTGCATCAACTCACTCGGCTGAACAGGAGGGTTTTCCCTGCGTCACACAGTCCGACCAGCAGCACAGCACTGCGGACGGTTTTACTGGAGAGAAAGTACTTCAGAAACACTGGAGAGAGAAAGCAGAGAAGCGGGTCATTAACTTAGTAGTATCCAAAACTCACTGTCCTGTTATCTGCTGACAGAAGATACTCAATAAAGTTGGCTGGCTTTAGTAGGAAATGCTGATAAGCTGCGTAACTGACAGATGCTTGCGTTAGCTTAGCTGTTAGCTTCTTCGCTTGCTAATTCGGCTACTGGCTTTTGACGCACACACTCTTTAAATAGCTGTCCTTTAATTATTTAATGCCAACGCTGAATGCACTGCTGACAAAACCGCTTTCCAACACTAATAAATTGTAGCTAACCATGCTAAGCTAAGCTAAGCGCTTGGCCTAGCCTGCTAAGCTAACGTTAGCATGCTAACGGTAACTTCCTACCACAGGTGATGATGATAACCGCCAAAGCGACGACAACTCCGATCAGAAAAACGGGGTCCTGGTCTTCCAGTTGTTGTCGTAGAGATTCAATGTAAGGCTCAAATGGGTTTTCTGCCATTTCCACGTCTGCTTTCTCCCCCATGTTGCCACCGGTGCTGTCTGCCTCCATCTGTCCGCTCATGCCAACCTGAGAGTGGGACACGTCTCCTTTTCCCTGCAGCCTGTAGGGAGCCTGGAGGGTCAGCAGAGGGCGCTGCTGGCCTCCTGGTGAAGTTTATTCCCACACTGGTTTCTAAACTGGTGGAGTGCTGGAACCAGGCAGTGGGCCCCCAGTAACACCAGACAAATACCAGTTGGATTTCACCTTTAAATATGGAGGCAAGTATTCTCAAAGAAGTAGATAAATAAATGTCAAGAGTCACAAAAATACTGACTTAGGCCAAGTCAAAAACAGTGGTGGTAAAGTACATTTACACAAGTAGGCTACAGTACCATTTTGAGGTTTACTTTACTTGAGTGTTTCAGTTTTATGCTATTGTACTTTGCTACTTTTCAGAGGGCATTATTCCACTCTTTACTGCGCTACATTTACCTGACAGCTGTTTACAGACTCACATTTTACATACAAAAAAATATGATCACTTATTAAATAGAAGCTGTACTATCCTTTAAAGCAGTGCAAGCAATCATTTCTTGAGATGATCTCCATGGAGGGAGCAGCTTCTAATGTTTCTGAAGTTTATAATGAGGAGCAACCATTGTGGAAGGCCATACTGGATACTAATAGTAAAATACCAACTTTTCCAAGAATCTTGAGACGGACTCTCGTTTAACCTGTAGATCCACAGCTCACAAACACACACATATACCCTCTGTAATCATTACCCCTTTGTATCTTCTTTTCTTTCTATTTCTTTTCTCACCCAGTTTAAGTTCCCTTGCAGATGTGTGAGTTAAGTATACTACCTTGATGTTTATTTGTCAGGAAATTCAATAAAAGGGTTTGGCACTTAACCAGGGTTCCCCAGAAAAATGGGGGACAGTTTATTTTCACTATTTAATTCATTATAGAAGGGAGCCACAGGTGAGCAAGGACCATAAGAGTGACTATTCCAATCACAGGTTTCACTTTCTCCATCTTTATCATCTTTAACTATGGAATTCTGATCTTAATCATATCTAATAGTCAAAATCTTTTCAGATGGAGGTCTCTGAAACAAAAAACTTCAAATTGGGGTTTGTGACCTTGACACGAAAAAGGTTGAGAACCTCCGGATTAAAGTATTTAAACTGTACTGTACCTGGACCATTCAGTCCAAGAAGTATGTCTGCTTTAATGCTTCAAGTACATTTAGCTGTTATACTTTTGTACTTTGGTTGGAAAATCTTAAATGTAAGACTTTTACTTCTCACAGTCAGACTGCAATCAGAGTATTTGCACAGAGTGGTACTGCTACTTTTGTGCAACTATCAATCATGGAATAGAGTATCTGTATAAATAAAAGGTGCATATAGTATAGGCTACATATATTTTATATGATTTTATTCTTATTCTATCTCATTGGTATTTTGTCATATTTCTGTCCTTATTTATCATGCTACGACTTTTTTTCCTTATCGCTCTTGCTTCTGACTCTTGAGCTGCTCTAAGGTGTGAATTTTGCCAGTATAGGATTGATTAAGTCCTTATCTTATCTTATCTTATCTTATCTTATCTCTTTTACTTAAGTAAAATATATGAGTACTTCTTCAAAAAGTAGTCAAAATTGTGACTTAATTAAAAAACTATGAAGTGATAACTTTACCTCCAAAGTCAAAAGAGTGAGGATTACTGTGAAGTAATCAATGATAAAATTGTTTGATTTGGTCAAAATTATGTGAATATTAGTGAGATACATGGTGAAAATTTTGACTTTAATCAAAATTATGATATAGTATCAGTAGTCAAAGTTGTAATCAGATTTACTCTTCTTGGGGAAAAAAGGGCTTCCATATTTAGCACCATGTGTCTTGCTAATTGCCCAAAATGCATCTGTTAACTTAAAGCAAAGCATTAAATGTGCTGCTATTGTGTAATCGTCTAGTCTTTAAACAGCAGGCTGTTGGCAGCAGTCTCAGATGTTAGTTCACTCTCCTAAAGGCAAAGTAGCCTGCTATTATTTGACAAAGTGGTGAACATGAGCAGAGACCACATCAGACTATTGTAAAATCATATGTCATCGTTCATATCTGTCTCTGTTAGCCGCGGCTTATGTAGACTTTAAGTAAATAGGTTTAATGGATCGTCCATTGAGGCATTAATCAGGGTAATAAAGACAATACACATGAAAGTGTGTTAGAGTTCAGTAACTGTGAATCCACTGTTGGTCATCACATTCATATCATGGGACCTATATGAAAACTGAAGGGTGGTGGTTTCTCGATCGGGACCAGATGCGCCTTTACGCACTCTGTCTCCAGCCTCACCCTCAGCGCGCTTTTTACGCACACTGGATATTTGACTCCTCAGCCCTCGGCACGATGTCAAACGTCAGAAAACCGCATTATTCTATAGGAAGAGGCTGTGTGTCATTCATCTTGGGCTCTTGAGAGGGCCAGTTTGTTTCTCGTCGGGAAGGCGAAATGACCAACTCATTCATGGTTACATCGGGGTTTTCTTAGGGTTTCTTTCCCCCGCTCCACTTCAGATACTGTAGATCTGTCAAAGAGGGATTTATAACTTCGGGATTTACTTGAAAAGAATCGTCGGTATCTGCGGATATCTCTGTCAGGGATAAATCAAAACGACACGATGGCTTTGTCGTTCCTGTACGCGCTGTGCATGTGGATAAGTTTAGTTGGTCTCTCACTGGAAACAGGGTTTGTTTATCACTTTCCAGGCATCACTCTGCAGCGACAGCGCATCAAATCGGAACAGAGCGGCAACACTGGATCGCCAGGTACCGGGTCCCGGACACAGCTCAGGTGAGCACACTGGGGATGGCGCCTTTTCTCTGCAGAAGTTGTAGAAATATAATCCTGATTATGTGCCCTCAGCAGAAATGAATTTACTGCAGCTCTGCTAAATGTTCACATGAGTGTTTCAGTATGTTATTTTTTCACATGTTCACATTATTGACATTGATTATTTCTCTCATAAAGTATTAATAAGAGTGAAATCACCTCCATTTGTATTTTAGGAACTGGTGTCAGTATACTGTGACCAGAACAGTGTCCTGTCAGGTGCACAACGGGACAGAAACCACAGTGCAGAGAGTGTTTCAGGGCTGCCGGTGGCCCGGACCCTGCTCCAAAGTCCAGATCAGGTACTTTTAAAGTCCTCACAGCTACCCCCGCCCCGCCTTCAGCCAAGTCTTCTGCTCCCATCAGCTCTTTCAGATGTCTGTGATGCTGATACTGTTTCTGTCATTAACGTGGGGCGTCTTGCATGGTGACAGGGGCGGATTTGATGATTTGGGGGCCCTCAGTAAACACAGGCTTTATTTCTATTAATACAGCATTATAGAAAAACTCTGTTAAAAGTTAAAGTCTTGCATTAAGATTTTTACACAAGCAAGAGAAGTATTATCAACACAATTAACTTAATTTTCAAAGTCTTTTAAAGGTTTCCCTCTGAAATAGAAGAGACGAGATCACTCCTAGTGTAACAAAAAGGCAAAAATGCTCCATGAATACTTGAATATATATGCAAGACTAAAAAACATTGTATCATACAGAGGTAATCTCTCTCAATCACCGCTATAAGTGTGTGGCAATGTATCTCTCTGCAGAGACTCTACCTTTTGCATGCTTTTTCTTATCGACTGTGTTCGGGGTGTTTATGGGCGTATACCCCCACAGCGCCCAAGTGAGGTCGAGGCTTTATAAAAAGGTAGCGACCAGGTGCCAGATCATAGCAGCACACATCCAAGACAGCGCTAACAAGGGTGAATCTTGGGTTAGCTTCTCTCTTCTATCACTTTCACTGGCGAGCATGTACAAACAGTAACCAACCATTTTGCATAGCATAGCTTTAGTATCAGGCAGTTTGATGATGTTTGTGCATTTGTATGTAGTTTCAAATCAGTTAGCGTGTGCTGTTTTCCAGCTACAGGACCCTGGTCAGGCCATCCTTCAAAGTTGCCTACAAGCAGGTGACTGCACTGGAGTGGAGATGCTGCCCAGGCTTTGTGGGAGAGGAGTGTCGTGAAGGTGAGTTTCTTATCTGTGCTTTTTTTTTTCTCTTTCAGATGATGCAACTTTCTCCATCACTGTAGAGGAGGAAGTGGTTTGAGGTTAAGTCTCATAAGGACTGAAATAAAGGCCATGTGTTCTGGACCCATCTGTGTCTTTTTAGCAGCTTTGCCCACATCAGTGCCTCGTTTTATGTTTGATGGCGTGTTGTCGGGTAGCTTGCTAATCATGCTTCTGTGCAGCCCTTTTGATATCACTGTAAAGTTGTTTTGAATGAAGATTGAAAGTCTGTTTTTGATTACTTTTGGGAGCACGGACTGCAGTAAAACAACAGTTGAAAGGGATCCCATGCCCTGCGGTTTTGTACCTTTTCTTTTACGGCCGTGCATTCAGGACACTTCTGTTCCTGGAAGGAGGATCAGAGACACCAACTGTCTCCCTCTGTATGTCTTCTTTCTTTGTGCATGTCTGTTAAGTGCAGACAGCACACAGTCTGTCTCTCTCAATATCATCATAGCTGTTGCAGTCAAAAGCATGTATGAAAAAAGCTCAGAGGAGCATCCAGCAGAGTAGCTTGTAAAGTGGGAGCGAGTGTAGGTCTCATGATGGGCAGCGCTGCCTCAGGATACCGCAGACCGCAGGCTCGGGGCCCAGTAAAGACCAAAATTTTCACCCAGGGGCGAGACACCACAGTCAGCCTTAAGAAACAGACTGTGAGGGTGGATGGAGGTCCAATGTGGGCTGCCTTTACTCCTCTGTTTATACATGTGTGAGTACATTTATGTGTCCAGTGCTCACGACACTGACTAACACATTTTCTTATGTTGTATTATAAACATTGTAGATGCCTGTAAAATGGTGCTTCAGGCTTCGCTGGCTCAGAGTTATTTTAAATGCAGAGTTTTCTATTAAAACCATTTAGTACATTCGGCAACTTTAACAGTTCTTTGGGGTTGGGCAATGCAGCAATGCCTGTGTCACTGAAAAACACTGGCATGATCGGTCCACACATGTCCAAGATTAACAGTTACCTCAATGACTAAGTTTTGCTTATTTGTCATAATTACCGCACCTTGTTCCATTTTGCAGAAATTATTCATTGTTGCACTTGGAGGGCCAAGATTTACCACGAGTTAAGAAAACACACATTATTACTAATGGAATAAACACAGACATTATTACAAAGCCTTTGGAAACCATTATTTGGATTTGCCGTGGATATTATTCCACACAAAGATTAACACATAGCTACATCCGCTGAGTCGGTACTGCCAGAGATTATGGTTCACTTGAGACCAAAGTGGTTGCAGGAGTGTGAATAAGTAATCTGGCTGTTTATTTAACGTTTGCTGAAATGTATTTGCAAGTTCTAATGGCTACAGAGTGGGAGGAAAATTGCCTCCATATGGAGAGACAGAAGGCCACAGTCAAGTCAGCGGGGAGACCTGAAAGACAGAGGCTGATGTCACTGACAGTCTGCTTCACACCGGGGAGAGAAGGAGAGGACACTGAGGGGAGAAAGTTAGGACCAGTGCACAAGAAACAACAAGGTGTTAGAATTGGCAGTGCAGAAACAGCTGTGTAGCAGGAGAAGAAGAAGAAGAGAAGAGAGAAGTGAAGTGTAATGAGGAGGGTTTCTGTCCCACAGGGCTCCAGCTGCTACAAGCTGCCCAGACGGCAGCGAAGCAGAGAGCCGGTTCTGTGGGAAAGTGGCCCCACTGAGATTAATGAGCATGACACTCCTCCACGAGGCCTTTGTAACATACGTGACCGCGCCAGGATCAGGCTACAGCTCCGAAACAAAGACTGGTTCTCCTCATGTAGATTAACAGAAGTAGGTGAATTCATATGCAGTATAAATGTATGTCAGGACTACCTTGGAAATAATAGTTGATAACACCACTGGAGAGCATTTTAAAGTTATACAACAAACGTTTCTGTTGGCACTCCAAAGAAAGCTTTGTATTAAATGGTTCAACAAACTTACAGGCTGATCATTCTCACTATATTTCACCTTCATGGCTCAGATTCCTGGAGCTGTTACATGTTTCTGTTTGATATCAACTGTTATTGTTGACTGGTTATTGGAAGGGAAGACATGACAATGGCGAAAATAAGTCATGCATCACAACTTCTCGAGTCTTTTGAGCATTTTACAGGAAAGAGCTTTTCTAAGAATCAACGAAAATAAACTCATTTGCCTTTTTGTTAAGAGTTAGATGAGGATATTAGTTCCACTTTCAAGCTTTGCTAAATGTGAAGCTACATCCAGGAGCTTAGCTTCGCATAGAGACCTCACAGAAATAACTTGTCCTGGTGAAGAAACAGCGTGGCACATAAAGCAACACGTTCTCACTCCGACCTCGTCACATATTGACATGTGGTCATGGAAATTCCACGTCCACATACAATGTGCAAGGTATCCTGAGTGCATTGGTTGTTGACGTTCTGGGACAAGTTCTGCCTGTTACAGACATTGTCTTCTCTCAAAATACACTCCATTTTCACAGGAAATTTGACATTTTAATACAGTCTCTTTCAAAATAAATGCACTATGTTGGTACAATAACCCGACTTGACGTTTTTTTTCCTTCAACAACAAAAGCGCGTGGTTAGGTTTAGGAAAAAAGAACATGGTTCTGCTTTAGAATCTTACGGGACGCGAACAATGCTCTCTCTGGTGAAAGTCGGTATTTGTTGGACCCATCTACCACCTCACCTGCCTGTCCCAGACTTTCACCACCTTAATGTTCATCCTTATCCCCCTGACTCCGCGGGGCACCGTTAAACTATAACAGCAACCAGCCGTGTATCATTGCCAACATTAAAGGATGCCTTTTTTCACTTGTTCCCGAGGCCGCAAGTCACTGCCCAAGTGCTGGATTTTGACGACTTCGGAGTGAGATTGGGCTCCATAAATTACCCATAAAACCATAACCTGGCAGTTTCACACTTCAGTTTTGTTTGGAATTACACAAACAGGATGTAACTTGATTGTAGGCAGATTTTGTTACCTTCGTTTTGACCCAGGCTAGCTGTTTCCCCTTGTTTCCAGTCTTTATGCTAAGCTAGGCTAATTGGCTGTAGTTTCACATTTACTACAAAAGCATGAAAGCAAACAAGAGTATTTCCCAACATGTTAAATGCTTCCTTTTAATTGTGGATCTTTTTGTTGTGAGTTTGTGCATTTATCCTTTATGTCTTCATGTCACTCAGCCAACACTGAACATGCAACTCTGTGTGGCTGCAAACTGCTGCGATGGGGGCTCTGAGCCAGCTGTTTTATCATAGCGAGAGAGGACAGCCTTAACCAATGAAGATGACATCACCTCTGGCTTTAGTTTGATGGGGTTCTGGCTCCACTTCAGAGGCCCCTGAGGCCCTCAGAGATGTAGAGACAGGGCACACGAAGACGGCTGGAGTCCAAGTTAAGTCTGTGTAAGCTGAGGAGATGCTTGTTTCTCTCACCTCCTCACACGCGCTTGTTGTTTTCATCGAAGAAATGAATCATCCTGAAATATTTTCTGTCACACTCTAATATCTTGTTCTTGTGTTACCACCCCTCGGAAAATAGACATTTATGAGGGTGACTTGGGGCACAAAATGTTTTTTTTATTTAGTCTGCTGCAGTCTGAGAGGTGCAGTGCCCAATATAGAGGCCAAATCTGCACTGATGTCAGTGCACATTATCAGTATGTAAGATTTAGGATTCATATTTCTTACCTCTTACCCTTCACATCAGTCCAAATGGAGGCTTCATGTGCAGTTCTATCAATGCATAGAATTGATTAGTGTAGATTTCTAAGGGGATGCAGGATACACAAAAGGATCACACACACACCCCCAATACAGACATGAAAGTAGCAGAGGACCTTTATTTTGATTAAAGACATTTCCACCACAAATTGATGCAGAGAAGGGCACAAATCGTTGCACAAAAATTCACCAGACTGCAGGAAATTAGCTGTTTGACAGTCTAATTTCCATGGTTGATTGACAGAAAAATAATCAGTCTGACAATCAGTTAATCATTCAAGAAATTTTTCAAGCAGAAAGTGCTGCCTTCCTCTTGTTTCTCAGCTGAGAGGATTTTCTGCTTTGCTTTCCCCTATGTGATACTAAACTGAATATATTTGCATATTTGGACTGAACAAGCATTTTCAATACATTGTGCTCAAGGAAATTAAGAAATTTGCAATGGACACCTGTCACTATATTTTACACTAAGCAATTAGCCAACAAAATGTTTGACATTTAACATGTAAATGTGCACAAATTTAAAACAGATGCTGTTGTTAATGCTGGTTATTAATCACTTATTTAATGTGCTTCAGCAACTATTTGCACAGTGGCTTTTGACTTTAATTTTAAGTCCTTTAGTGGGTTTTCTGCCTCTTGTTTTGCCCCCTGTTATAACCTTCTAACACTCTGACATATTATGGAGCTCGTGGCCGAGCCTCTAAGGCCGAGCTGGTCTCAAAGCCTGAATTTTTCTGTGTTTGCTAATGGAAAGTGGGTGTTTTCAGAATACATTTCGTTGACACCCTGACCCGTCAATATTTTTGACAGTCTGGTTTGTGCTGGCTGTGTACAGTGCATCTCAAGATTTACATTTTGCTTTCAGCAGAGCTGTGCTAACACATGACGGCATGGAACACATTTGGGAGAAATGTGTTCGTAATTTCCCCGCTGTTGGCCCCTGCCCCCACCTCCCCACTCCATCACAGCAGCACCCCCCAGCACCCATTTGCACACATGATCATATTAACAGTAGGGATTGTGTGTGAGGGAGCCTCATCTAAGAAGAATAAGAGCTGGGACCTCCCCTGATGAAAGCGGTAACCTTTGATCTCATGCAAATGCTCAGGAGAAGAGGTTTAACAAAGTTTAACGCAGGGTGAGACAGCACAGGAGTTTATTTAGAGAAGTTAACGATTAATTTTATTAAAGAAGTGAAAAGGTGGCTGGAAGATTAGGATGTCAAAATGTGCTAATCTGTTAATGTTACAGCTGTGAAG